GTGTTTGACCGGCGACAGTCGCCGGTGAAGGGGCGACCAATGCAGAACTTGAGCTGCTGCAGGTGACTGCACCTGAAGGTGCAGTCACGGGTGCAAGGCCCTGGCCCAAATGGGCCTCCTCTGCCTCATCAATTGACGCAGAGGTTATTTGATATGGGCTGGCTTTGCCAGCCGGCCCATATCCCACAAAGGGCTGCCTTTAGGCAGCCCAATCCCTTTTTAATTTTTTTTTATTTTTGAAATCAATTGTTTTTGGAGATCCATCAAAAAGGAAGACACGAAAATAGAGAATACTTGAAGATAGAGAATTACAAGAAGATTCATTATAATGTAATTTATTATTACAATTTATTTTGAGGTTGTAATTTTTAGGTCTATGAATCCGGTTAAATTTTTCCATTTCGCTTGCATGTCTTAATTTATTTATTTATTTATTATGATTGATAATAATTATATTGCCATGCATCTAACATGTCATCATAATACAAAAAGTGCTTACCTAGTTTATATGTATGACATGCATCATGCGCATTAATTATTTATTTTAATTCTAAAATTGTTTTAATAAATTAAAATAAATATTTCTTCCTTTTTCTTCCTCAATCTAGATGAATCGGATCACAAGAACATTTTGGGTGAATCTGGATCAATATTTCTTTAACTTTTTTCGCACATGGGTCACCATCATTAATAGATAGGCTGGAACAAGAACATTGCCAGTATTGCATGATGATCTGCGTGTTTTCTTTTCCCTGGTATTTGGTTCTGATTTGCCTGTTCTCGGATAGTTTTGGGAGTTTAGGTTGGTATTTGTTTTGATTTGGTGAAGATTATTTCGAGCATTGCCTGTATTTGCTGATGATCTGGGTGTTTTTTTTTTTGCCGATCTTTAACTTGATTTGCTGATTTGCTACACCACCAAACGCAGTTTCAGTTTTTTTAAATTGAAAATAATTTATGAAAAAAAACTACTAAACACATTTTCAGAAATAAATTCTGCCTGAAAATGAAAACGTTTTCATTTTCATATAGAAAATGAAATTATTTTGAAACGAGTTCTAAACGCTCCCTCAAGTTCCCATTTCGAAGATCTTGATTTATGGATCACCAAACTCATATTTTGAAGATTCTGTAAATTTTTAAACATAAATACAGACTTGTAAATCACATGCCCTCTTTCTGAAGGTTTAAGTCAATAAAATACTAAATTATTATTTTTTTTTTAAAATCCCTAAGAATAAAGTACTAGTTTTTTTTTTAGTAAAAATTCTTATAATTTAGCTAAATGGTGCTACCCCAATTAATGAGGGTGGAGTGAGTTATATATATATATATATAGCCATATAATTAAACTAGATAGTTTTTGTAGCTCGAAGTTGATGTTGAAAGTAAGGATCTAAATTAGTGGACTCAAGGAGAAAGCCTCTCTCTCCATTTCTGCTCTCCCTCCTCTTATCTATCCAATTAAACAATAGAATTGTGCTCTCCCCCACCTTTCTCCCTCCACCTCCCTCCCTCCCTCCTACTAAACACACAATTAGTATTGGACGGATGAATAACCATGGAACAGTGGTACAACCACAAAGAAATGCCCGAATTCTATAAATAAGCGCCGCTAAATAACCTCCATCAACTTATTATCCTCCTGATTGTTGTCGTTTATTCAACGTTATTGTCGTTTTCTGATTGCTGCCG